ACAAGAAGGGACCACTTAGCTACTGCTGGCGTTTCTTTGTGGTTGTGTCTGTCTGGATACGCTTCCTAAAAACAGACCATTTTCCTTAACTAGCATCAGTTTTGGTTTGCCTTATGAGTTCTGTTTTGGACTAGTGTAACACACTGCTGGTTTTAATGTATCTTTTCCACTTATTATAGTTAGTATTCCTATAATGCAATTTTAAAATCTTGTCTTTTTATATTGTATTTATGCTTCTGTATCATGATTTTCTCAAGCTGTTACATTAGTTGTAACCAACAGTATACACATTGAATCTCACTTCTCATCCCTTGAAAAAGGAAAAAAAAAATCCTGTAAACAATAAACTTGGCTAGACTTTGTTTTGGAAATTTTACAAGACATCTGTAGCAATTAGGTTTTTTTCCTACATTGAAAATATGAACCGCTTTCTTCCTTCCTTCCTTCCCATCAGCTATTGATCTCTCAGCTGTTAGAATGTGAAGTCCTCTTAGGATCTGTGTAAACCCTGAATGAACTTTCTTTATTCAATAAAATTAAACTTTTTGGCTTCTTATGTGATAGCTTTTATGTTGTTTTGTTTATACATACTGTTTTTTTCTTGTGAAAAGTTTCCGACGGAGGAGGGAAAATACAGGCATCTTTCATTACTGGAGTCTGATAATTACTTCCTAACACTGTGTCTCATACTGAATTTTTAGGTGGGAAAATAACGATGCATTCTCAGTCTATCCAAAAACTCAACCAGTTTCCCCAAACATCTCTCTAATATTCCTAAACAGCTGACATGATGGTACCAGTAACAGAGATGGTGGAGGGAGGGGAGGGATGCCAGTAGGTCCACTTTTTAGGGGCAGGGAATGGGGGCTACATATCAAGTTTGCTTTTGCAGGATATCATCAAATAGGAAATTCAAGTGGAGATGCTTATTTAGGAACTGGATATACAATTTTGGTTGAGATGCCAGCATTTTTGATTTGCAGTCATACTTTCTATGATGAAATAATCTTGCATGATCTGGGCTTGAAAATTGAGCCTCTAAAGAGACGGCAGATCACACATGAAGGCAGTGTCCTGTCATTAAGGCCAGTGGGAATGAACTACCACTAGGAAAAGAAGTAGAAGGAAAAATGGAAAAAAAGGAAAAATGGATCATTGAGGGAGTCAATTAGAAAGTTGTTTAAATAGAAAAACATGGACACTGTGAGTCGATATTTTCTGATGGGTACATTTATTCACTCGCGGATACTGAATAAAAGTACTCATTAGCGTGTGATGTGGAGGGTATGTGGATGTATATGTTGATGGGGAAAGTTAGAGGTGATCGTTGATATTCCTTTTTTGGTGCCACATTATCTAGATCTCTTTATTGCGGGAGAACTCCTTTCTATGAGTCTGCAAAGTTGAAGGGCACCGTAGGTTCTCCCTCTCCAACCCGAAAAGCTAAGGTGTGACAGCAGCTCACCTCAACTAATTCAGAAACTCTCCCCCGGAAGTGTTGAACGTGTAGGAAGTGACGCAAACATGTAGAGACAGGATGAATCGTGGCTTCATGGTGGCAATGAGAGTCGAGATTCTGGGGGCGGGCTGTCTCGTGGAGGTGGCACCCACGGGAATAGGGCTCCTGTGCTGAAGTAGCATCCCATCTAGCATATTGCAGTGCCGTGGCCTCGGCTGAGTCCTCTGCCTCCTTTCATTTTCTAAGCCTTGTTCTCTTGCATTTTCTGTCAATTCTGTAAGATACCCAACAGGCTTCCCATAAATTCCTTTGCTGCCTGAATTATCTGGAATTCATATTGTTTGCTACCCAGAACCCTGATCATAGCAGGTGGCATGTAAAAAGATGTGTATTTCACATGAAGATCTTGATACTGCTAAATTCAAGATGATTTTTACTGTCAGCATATTTTAAAATTTAAAAATATAGAAAATAATGTTTAATACTTGGCACTCAGAAAACTTATCCTTTTAACACTACAAAAATGTGCTCATAAAGTCAAGGTTAATAGCATTAGGGTGAAATGTAGTCTAAAAAATAACTGTGTGTTCTATCATGGAATTGTCCTTTCTGAGTCTGGTCCTTGCTGTGTCCTCTGCCCGCCAACCCACCATTGGAGACTTAATGAAAACATGATTCTAGGCCCCTGTGCTCTTGGGATTGTCCCCCCACCTGTGTGTTCCAGAGAGATGGGGAAGAAAGTAAAAGCACTTAATGATTTCCACCAGTCCACAGGCTAGTATGTGTGCCTTTAATCTACAAATCTGATATATGCAGGAGTTTTATTTTTCCTCTTTGCAGTTCATAAAAATGAGCCCAAACCAATCTTTAGAACATTCAACCTTTACACCAAACCTCTCCTGCCACTTGGTCTTGGAAATCTTGGTGCCATTTTTATCTGTCCACTCACTGAAAAAGGGAATGGAAAAATAATAATTTTTTTTAAAGGAAGGAAGAAAAGAGAGTGCAATCATCTTGGCAAACATGTAATGTTTTAAATCTGTCAATTCTCTATCCCACTATGATAATCAAGACCACATATTTGAGTTTCATTTCCATCCAAGAGGGGAGCAATTACGTCTATCTCTTGGAAGTCAGCATTCAAATACTTCATCAGGAAAAATTCGGAAGTCATGCTTCTCACATATGGTATGTTTTTATTAGCACATATGTATCCAGGGGTGGGTTGGATCTCAGGAAGTATTTGCCCACTGGGCCTCATTTATGTGTGAGGTATATTTCTTACTGGGCCTACAAGCATCTTTGTATTTCTGCTGGATTCCATTCCCTACTCACACAGTCTTGTCCTGAATATGATTACATAGAACTTGTGCAAAAAACATCCTGCCCACCTACCTCCCAGTCAGCCTCTCTGGACTGAGAGAAGAGCTGGCCTCCCTAAAGATACGTACTTGAGCACTACGATTGAGCAGGGGTGTGTTAAGATTGAATCCTCTATCTTGACTTCCTGCTTCCCCAGATTCCTGAGGAAAATGGCACCAGAATTTAGGGCTTAGATTTGAGGAACTGATATTGGAAACATGGAAAATATCATCATGACCCTTGACCTCCCAGACCTGTGCCAGCACCAAGCATCTGTAACAGTCTGCCTCTGAAGAAGAGGAAAACATCTCTGCTGAAATGATTTAGAGCACCAACTCCTTCTCTGCTTTTCTTCCAACCGCTCTGGCTTATCCCCTGTAAGTATTTGTTCTCCCCAAAAGCAAAACCACTCCTATTGCCTAAGAGAACGGAGGCATCTGTTAAAAGCAAACATCCTGGGGCCTTGCTGCACAATCAGAGCCCCAAGAAAAAACAGCTGAGTGTGAGTAATTCAAAGGCAAGGCTTGAGTTCTGTCTGACACATGTCTGCTTCCCCCTGGCTGCCCAGAGCCCGGCCCTAAATGACTTCCACCTGAGCTCAGCGTGGGGCTGCTGCTGCTCCGTGTGTCGAGGGGCACATGTATATGTCCCACATAGGTGGGGAAGAGGGAACCTGACTTTAGATATGTTGTGGGCGAACTCCAATGGGATACTCACTTGAAGCTGCTAAAGAATTTTGAGTAAGAAGTAAGTTAAAAGTTTAGTTATCTAGGAGATGTTTTGGCTTAAGCAGAGGCACAAGCTTAAGGGAGAGTATAGTTTTGTGGTTAAGAATTCAGGCTCTAAGGTCGAACTTGACCAAGTCCTTGCTGGTTGTGGGACCTTCAGCTTGGTGAGGCCTCAGTTTCATTTCGTTATCTGTGGAATGAAGGTTGTAGTCAGGAATTATATGAGGTAATGCGTGTAAAGCACGCCTCCTTTATTATTACTTATTATTTTATTATTTAAAGATGTAGTCTTTTGGTGAAAAACACAGTGATAACGATATGAGACTAGACCTTGTCATCTTTGCTGCATAATACCATTCTCTGAGCAGTGACTCGAGGCAGACGGAGCTTAGACACAAATCTGAAGGCCGTGAAAACGCAGTACCCCTGTTTCACCCACACTTTTTTCCCCTCATTTTTTCCTTGCGTCCAACTTCTCTCATGTTCCCTAGATTAAGAAAACAAGTAGATTTTTGCAGAGAGAAAAAGCAGAAAAAGGTACACATTTGCCTAAAGCAAGCATAGACTAATCCAAATGCAAAAGAAAAAATCACTGAAGAAATGATAACACTTTGGGAAAGTGGACTCAAGCAGAAGGTCAGGAGTAGAAAGGCAGTTTCTTCTCGGCCTGAAGTTTAATGAGAAAGGTCTGCTTGAGTTAACATGGTCATTGGTTTATAGGAAAGCTGCATCTTACAAGGACTACACTGTTCCTACCAAAGCTGAGCTCAGCTTGTTGGTACCTCTGATCGAAGCATAAAATCTTACATGTATTTAACGTTCAGAATTGAACTATAAGTGGTGTTTCATTGCCAGTAATTACCGGAGTCTTCTGTGGCCAGAACAGATAGGGCACAAAATAGGAAGGTGAACACAAACCTGTGCACTGTTTTCCCAGAGTTTTCCGCACGGGGATTTTTTTTTCCTGTTCATGTGGTCAAAAGATCTCATAGCTAAGAATAGAGGGTGAGCAAAGAAGAGGATAAGATTTACATTTATCTCGAACAATGTAATCAAAATCTCAATGCTAGCTAACATTTACTGAGCATTCATTGTTATGTGCCAGCCACTGTGCTAACTGCTTTCCATGTATTATTTTGTTTAATGCTTGTGGAAATAACTGGCAAGTAATCAATATTATTAAGAAAGGAGAGGGAAAAAACGAAAGTTTTAAAATAAGAATTGAAATAAAAATTGAGTATAGTTTTCTTAGAGAAATTAAAAGTTAACTGTGATAGGTTGGGTATAAGATGAACGTGCAAAACCCAAAATCACACAAATGTACAAAAATCAAAATCTCTATTAATAAAAATGAAAATGTCTGTTGGAGGAGGTCGTGGAGAGGACGTGACCTCCGGGGACCTGAGAGCTGACCCGGCGATCGGGGGCTCCTCCCTGCTCCCTGCTCTTGGAATGTCCGCTCCGCCCACCGTCCCCATCCCCGGAGCGGTTCACGGATGCGGCCTTGAGAGAGCAACGTGTTGTCGAGACCGTCTGCCTGGTGAGGGCGACTGAGCCCCGTGAAGGCCGATGTAAACTTTCAGGTTCTGGTGCGCGGGGGCGGAGATCTGCTGCTCTGACGGCCCGAGACAGGCCTCTAGTCTGTCCTCTGCTGCTTTCACCTGCCACCTCCCAACCTGGGGCGGGGGGCTGCCTCTTTCTTACTCTCTCCCCGCCCTGCGTGCACGGGGGCCCGGTCAAACTTCATCCCGGAACCCCGCAAGGTTGCGAACCAACAATGACCCAATAATGACAGCCACACAACCTGTAAAATACTTAGGAACAAAATTAAGAAGAAAAGAAACAAGATCTATTTGAATAAAAGTATAAAATTGTATGAAAAGACATAAAGCAAGTCCTAAAAAAATGGCACTGTATACCTGGTCCTAGGTGAAAAGACTTAAAACCATAAAAATCTCAATATTCCTAACATTAGTGTTTGAGGCAATTAAAACCTCAATGATTTTTTTGGGCGGAGGAATTAGATAAAATAATTTTTCATTTGGAATAATAAATACCAAGAATAGGCAAGAAAATTCTGAGAAAGAAGTGAGGGGAGACTGAGCCAAAGACTCGTGAAGAAGAAGAAGTTGTTGTTTGAAGCCACTGAGTTCTGGGGTGCTTTGTCCCCAGCAAGCACTAATTACTGCAGAGACCCGGGCATGTGTGTCCTAACTCAGGTGTACTCGCCAGCTGAGGACGGCTGGGAGGTTTGGGTTGTGGTGAAGGTAAAGAAAATAGGAGTCTGGAGAAGGAGCTGGACATTTTATGACAAGAAGGATAAACCATAGGATCACTTAGAATAGCAGGGGCTGGACGTAAAATAATTAGGCAGCGGTGTATATTTAAACACGGTGTTGAGTTCCAAGCTATAAAATAGAATAAATAAGGAAACAACAGATAAGCAAAATTCGCTAGACCGGGAGTTGCAAACTTTGACCCGGCTCGCTGTCTGTTTGTGCAAATACAATTGTGTAGGAGGAAAGCTACTCCACTCGGCTGAGTATTGTCTGTGGCTGCTTGTGCTCCAACAGCAGAGGGGAGTAGTTGAGACAGAAAGCCTGTGGCCTAAAAAGCAGAAAATATTCACTCTCTGGCCCTTTGCAGGAAGTTTGCTGATCCCTGCTCTAGACCGACAATTGCTTCTCCAGCGTGGAGTCCCTACTAAGAGAAGGGACAGGCTTGGGGACAATTGCTTCCACAGCGTGGAGTCCATCCTAATAGGAGAGACAGGCTTGGAGACAATTGCTTCTCCAGTGTGGAGTCCCTACTAAGAGGAGAGACAGGCTTGGGGACAATTGCTTCTCCAGCGTGGAGTCCCTACTAAGAGGAGGGACAGGCTTGGGGACAATTGCTTCTCCAGTGTGGAGTCCCTACTAATAGGAGAGACAGGCTTGGGGACAATTGCTTCTCCAGCGTGGAGTCCGCCCTAACAGGAGGGACAGGCTTGGGGAATGGAGCAGTATGGCCGTATGGAGTCTGTCTCCTCCTTCCAGTCCCTTCTCCACTTGGAGGGGAATGGGAGGGTCGGGGAGAGGGCAAAGGGAAGAGACTCAATCCTTCAGTGGATTTAACCCCATGAAATGAAAGAACTCAGGGTGGTGCACCCTCAGCTGCCCATATTATGGGGTGAGATTGGATGTGTAAGACAGTAAAATGTCCAAACAATTCAGTAAGTGTCAGACATCCAGTCTGACTCGATCTGGGGCTATGTTGACTGAACCGTTCACTGAGTACACCAAAGTTCTTAGCATCATGTTGATCCAGCAACATTTCTTCTGGTAATGGGAACTAAAAATTTGTGAATACAAATAATTATATTTTTTAAGTAGCTACAATGCAGAGAATAAAAATAAATATGAATTTTAATAAGCAATAATTCCATTAGTAGTTTTTTCACTTCTACACTTATAACAACAATTACAGATTCACAAAGGTTGGTGATGGGAATGTCAGGCTTATCAGCAGAGCCATCAAGTGTGTGTGCTGACAGACTATCACGCCTGTGGTCAGCATACGTCAGCTAAGGTTCCTATGACAACATTCACCTTTGTGTTTCCTGACTTCCATATTTTAATTTGTTTCTGGTGCATTGTATTAACATTTTCCTTTGCATTTAGTTTCCTCTTTAAAAATGAGAACAAAAGAAAAATTTTAATGTCCCAATCTCTCAGGGCAGTTACCATATACCACATAATAGCTGCACTGGGGGTCTTAAGTTTTTTATATGTTTAAGTCTTTGGAACAATAAGGAGGGGACTTGGTTCCTTTTATTCATATCTCTAATGAATTAAAAGTAATGTGCTCTGTTTGCCTAAAAATTTTTCTCTTACTGCCAGAAATGAACAAAAGAGAACAAAGAACCTCAATAAAGCAAAGAAAATATAATACAGCTTAGAGACAAACATGAAAACTCCGTTTTGAGTCATTAAAATTACATTAACTGGAAACTCTTAAGAGGCAATTTTTTTAAAAGGGTCTGGAGTCATGACTTCTACCATCAGAGAGAGCAGAGGCGATATGGAAAAAGCAAAGAGCTCTGTATGCAGGGCAGTTTGGGGCATTGTGTTAAATGAGATTTTTAGAAGTGTGAAAGTACGTGTTCCAGAACTTTCCATATAGTAGAATTTCAATGTATATTTGCTTCCTTTCCTTTTGAGGTAGACATGATGAATTGTCTAGACTTTATTCCACTTTCTGTATAGACAGGACCCTGATGGTGTTGAGGTTGGCTATGTGCCAAGTGGGGTCATGCAGTGCTTTGACTGTGACAGCCTTGACTCAGGGTTCCCAGCCTCCCTTGTAGCTATAGTTGACCATAGGACCAATTCAGGCCAAGGAGACCTAAGAGGAATTCTGTTGGAGTGCAGGCTTTGCTTTCCTCATAAAACAGACAAGACCACTAGCCACACAGTATTGCCCTTTTTTTCTATGTTAGGCAAGCTTAACAATGCTTCCTTGGCAAGCTCTGTAACTAGATATGATGGATGGTGTCTAGCAATTTCTGTTCGATTGTATTTGAAAAAAGTCTAACGAAATGTATTTAAATTGTGGCCTTGATCCATGTGTATTAAAGTCACCTGAGTTGGTATCTGTGGGTTGAGGCCAGGAATATGCATTTTAAATACGTGCTTTGTGTCATTCTTATGCACCCTGAAGTTTTATATCTGGTGGCAGAAAAGCTGAGTTGGATGGTTCTTTTGAATTGATTTGTTTAAAAAGGTATAGTATGTTTTGATTTGGATATGCATGCTGATGAAAGAGCTTAATAAGCTTTGGACTTGACTATCATCTCCAGAAGCAGGGTTTAAGAAGTTACTGTTTAGAATCAGAGAGTAAACTCTGGTCCTTTGGACATTTTGAGAAATATTTGAGAGCAGCCACTATATTTTCAGCTAGAGCCAGAAGTGGAAGAACCGTCTTCTCCTGAACTAGGGCTGTGAAAAGTCTTGTCTCCTTTTCTAAAAGTTTAAAACGTATTGGCTTTTCCATAAATATTTCTCAGGGATTCCTGAAATACTAAGGGCTCACAATCTTTTTAAGGAAAAGAACAAGACCACCACTAACACTGAAAACATTTTTTTTTTCGAGGAAGATTAGCCCTGAGCTAACTGCTGCCAATCCTCCTCTTTTTGCTGAGGAAGACTGGCCCTGAGCTAACATCTGTGCCCATCTTCCTCTACTTTATATGTGGGACACCTACCACAGCATAGTGTGCCAAGCAGTGCCATGTCCACACCTGGTAGCCGAACCGGCAAACCCTGGGCCCCCGAAGAGAAATGTGTGCACTTAACCGCTATGCCACTGGGCCGGCCCCTAAAAACATTTTTAAATTTTCTTTCTTTCTGGATCCTAGGTTACCTCTTCAGGCATTTTCAGTCAGCCTGGTCCAAGACTCCATGCAGGAATTGACAAAGCAGCCTAGATAGCCCAGCTTCCTTGGCTGAAAGACTTATAATCAGGTAAATGGGCCTTTAATTTTAAAAAGGAAAAGTTCTTTTAACAGGTGTTATGAGGTATCTACAGACATCTCCAGATTCCCCCAAAGTTGATCCTGCTGTAGAAGATCCTCCGACACTAGGGAATAGACCCCTGGAGCCCCACGTGGTGTGACGCTTCCTGTCGCCCCTTCTGCTGCGGTGGTGGGGATGACACTGGCCCTGATATCAGTTCCCCTACATTAAACCCAGCATATATGGGGTTAAAACCAAAGCATTCATCCCCTCTCCCTGCTTACTCCCTGGCTTCCTGGCACCAGAATCCACCATCCCCCATGGAGGCAGACCACCAAGAACAGCCACCTGCAAATTCTGTGATGTCTTCCTCCTCCTTCTTGCAAGCAATGGAAGGCTGATGGGAAAACACAAACCAGCAAGGCCACGGGATCTCCCTCCCTACAAGGAGCTGCATTCCTTGCAACCTTTAAAACCTCTGGCCTCCCATCTTTTGGGGAGATGAGAAGAGACGAGCTGAATTTGAGGGCTCACTCTCATCTCTGGGCTGATGTCACCTGAAATAAAAACCCTTTCCTTGCCATAAGCCTGGTGTTCCAATTTTTATTTGGCCCCTTGTGTGGCGGGTAAAGAACCTATATTTGCAGCCGGTAACAGGGACCTGACGCAGGCATCCTTGTCTTTGGGGCCGCGCCAGTCTCCCCTTCTCTCAGTATTTCTGTCTCTCTCCATGTCTCTCCACCCACAATGGAAAGGTTATAAAATATGAGAGGAAGGAACACTTCAGTCTCAGAAGAACACCTGCCACCAGAGGTCTCTAGGCAAGATTTTCAATGTTTACATTTTTTTTTCAACTTTTCTTCATGCCCTAAGGAATGCAAGGCAGCTCTATCACGCTTCATGGAGTCCAGGCATCCCCTTACCAGTAGGGACAGCTCCCTGCCTCTAAGGGTCCAGGAACGACTTGTGGAAGATCCCCTCCCTCCAGTCCTGCAGTAAGCACAGGATGCAGCTATGGGAGGTTGGAAGTCAGAATCTATCCAAGCAAGTGACTCTTTACAATAACCAGGGCTTCCCATTCTGGGAGCGTACTTAAAAGTGAAATTGATTTAAAAGTGCTGGAGAAAATCTCGTTACAAAAAATAAGAAAATATAAGTGAAAAAAACAAAAATGGAAAAATGGTCAACTACACGAGATTTGTTATTAATGCAAACTAAAACAACATCAAGGGTCTTGTTTTATTCTGGGTAGAACGCAATGAAGTTAGATGGCAGGGGTGAGGGTGGGGGAATTTCGCTGACGCCAAGCCTTCTCACTTGCGCTCCCTGAGTGTGCAGGAGAGCATCGCCGTCCCCCATCTCTGGCAGTAGGGGTTACTGATGTCCTTAATGGGAGCAATTTCATGCGTGTGGAGGGGTGAAGCCTCTTGCAGTAAGAAGGAAGCATTTGGGGGCTGGCCCCGTGGCCGAGTGGTTAAGTTCGCATGCTCCGCTTCAGCGGCCCAGGGTTTCTGTGATTCGGATCCTAGGCGTGGACATGGCACTGTTCATCAAGCCATGCTGAGGCAGTGTCCCACATGCCACAACTAGAAGGACCCACAACTAAAAATATACAAGTATGTACCAGGGGACTTTGGAGAGAAAAAGGAAAAATAAAATCTTAAAAAAAAAAAAGAAAGAAGCTTTTGCCTTGGACCCAGCTGGAGCAGCCACTGTAAATTTCTGCCCAGGAGTGTGACCTGAGACCAGCGGGGTTTTAGGTAAATAACTCTGGCCACGTGTGCTGAGTGGAGGGGAGGGACTGAAGAGCAAGAGGCAGAGGGCCCACTTATAAAAGGCCTGCACTTTTTCAGACGGGGGCTGGGGGCCTGGCTTAGGTGCTGACAGCAGTGATGGAGACAGGCCGAGGCCCTTACCATCTTCCCGAACAGCCCTGGGCCTCACCGCTCTGACTGTTCTGTGGTGGCCACGCGTGCTTTCAATTCATTGCTCACTCGCAGGTGAGCTTTTGACAATGTGATTCCACAAAACCAAGTTTGTTCCTTTTGTGGCAGCTCCGGAGACCTGATGTGTCTGCTTTTAGTGTCTGTGCCTCGGGGAAACCTCTGCGGGCCCCCTCTTTCCCCCTTCTCCAGTGGCCTTCCCTCGAATCATTCCACCAATACTGCCATGTTACCGGATACTCCCTCCAGGTCCTAAGAAGCCTGCGGTGCGAACTTCCCATGAGTCTCTAGGCTGTTTCTTAGAAAACTGCAAATGTCTTTTCTTGATTGGAATTTTAGGATCTGTGAGGAAGAGCACTGAGGAAACGATGCTCCTCGGCAATGTATGCTGTGGGCGGCACGTGCCAGGCACGGTGCAGAGCGCTTGACCCACATCAACCCTTGTAATCTTCACAGCCCCACCGTAGAGGGAACACCTTTGTCTGTTTCACAGATGCAAAAACGGAGACTTCAGTTAAGTCTCAAGGTCACACGCTAAAAAGTGGTGGAGTTGGGGACAGGAACCAAGGTGTGACTGATTCCAGAGCCTGCCCTCGTGTGCAACCGGGTTTCTGTTGAAGGAGTTGGAAGTGTCCGGAGATGCAAATTAGCCCTTCAAGAGGAGTAGGTACTTAAAGATAACAGTATAATAAAGACGCAGGAATAATACGTCGTTGAACATCTGCTGTGCGCCAGGTTCTGTGTCGAGTTCTTTATACAACGTATTTCGTTCTTGCAGCAGACTTAAGAGCTGGGTAAAACCCCCATTTTACAAATGGGAGAACTGAAGCTCAGAGAGGTTAGGGGAGTTATTTAAGATCACACAGCTACTAAAATGCAAAGTCAGGACTAGACTCGAACTCAGGAATTCTGCAAAGGTGGCTACGACTAAACACTAGTTTGTATGTATTTTCTGATTCTTATAATATGCTTGGAGTTGAGGCTGCTTCATAATCGAGACTTACAGGGTTTTCTGGAGTTTATCTGAAAAGCTCCTGGATCAGAACTGCTTCTGATACTTGATCCCTGGACCTGTTATGGAATCCAAAGTGGGTTCCATCCTGGTGAGTTAAATCAGACTCTCCACCAGGATCAGTCGTCTCACAAAGTAAAGTATATTTGCAGCAAATGGGAGACCATGAGGAATCATCTCCAAAGTCATGGTGTCTACAAACAAAGAGAAGCAGGGACATTTATTTCGGACGGGGAATGAATATTTAAAGGAGAGAGGTGGGTATCCTCTTGTGCAGCCTCAGATGGAAAACATGCTTCCACATACACTGCCGGTGATGGCAATAAGGCCTCAGCTCCTATGGAGAGATCCAAGCATTCAAAATACGGCAAAGGTCACAGGCATAGCTCTTGTGGTGAGGCTGGGGCAGGTTCAGGGAGGTTGGTGACTGCACCTCAATGTAACAACAGGAAAAAAACAGTTAAATGCTTCCAAACCCACCCTTGAGTTCCTTGGGGTAACTAGTCAGTGAAAAAATCCCTCCTCTATCTTCATCCTGCTCTTCATTCTCGAGGGGCACAGGTCGAAGCTCCTTCTTTTGCAACTGCTTCCTGCCGAGTGTGGGCGTTGTCATAGGGGCCAGTAGAGGAGCAGAACTTCCAGCTAATCTCACATAGGTTTGTGGGTCACCACAGGCCCAGCCCTGAGTTGTTCGTAACAACCATCTGTAATCTTATAGCCTCAACGCCTTTAGTATACGTTTAGGATCTGGGCGTACTTGCCCCCTCCCTCCAGATTCCACCAGCTCTTTCATAGTCTCCGTACCGCGTTGCCCATCCTTCTCTGATGGACCTAGTCTTGCTGCCCAGGAACATGCAACCTCCTTGGAAGTGGACCATACCTAAATGGTGTGGGATTGGTTAGGATCCAGGGCAGAACCTGGAGTGGATAGCCAGTCATTACTTATCTGGATAGTGTCACTGACAAATAGAAATGACAAGCAATAGGATATATTGGAGTATATGAGGAAGCCATTTGGTGTAAACCTAATTCGACCTGACTTTGTTTTTTCCAAAAGGGCCTGATGTGGCCATTGAGCATGCATTGTATACCTGCTTTAAACGTTTCCTGTGGCAAGCACAGATGGCCTTAAGATAAAGGTGCAACTTCCCCCCACATTGGCATTTCCTTAAGGATAAGCATCTTTCCTTAGCCTAGGAACTGATTGCTGTGCTCACCTGTGACCACTGAGCTCAAGACAACAGACCTGCCACCCTGCTGTGTCCACCGAGACAGGAGACCTACCTGCTGTGTTCATCCGTTGCTGTGCCGACAGAGCAGTCTCACGACTATTGTAAAAGGGACATATCAATCCTATGTGAAACATCCTCTTTGGGGGTATATAACCACTCTGTACACCCCACTTCTTTGGTGCCCTTTCTTCCTTTGGGAAGAAAGGCCCCGGGCCATGGTCTCACATTTTAGCTCAGAATAAACTCTCCCAAATTTTCATTTATAGATTGGTTATGGATTATTTTCGTCGACATCACCAAAACAAGAGTTTCAAATCAGAGAGTGCTTTGCAGGAAAACTTGGAGTCATCAATTGTCTGTGACGATCTCTCTTGATGTTCAGGCATGGGTGCCTTTTTTTACCCTTGCGCGGTGGATCCAAGGGGTGGCTCCTTCTAATTTTAGGGAAGAGTGTGTGGTTAGTAACACCAAGCAAGGCCCTACCCAAATAGGATTTAGCTGATTTGAGACCACTCACTCTTCTAAGTTTTAAGACACACCCAATTTCCCGGTTCATATGGGTAGAGTTTCACCTCTCTAGGCAAGGAGTTTACATATTTATTGAGTGCATCTACCACCTGCTTCAGATTGATTATGTGTTTGATTGCCATGGAAACCTCTGGGTCTGGGTTTGTGAGCAAATCTGAGTCTTTAGGGAACGGCCTCCCATAGGTCATTTCAAAGGGGCCAAGGTTCAGTTTGTCTTTGGGAACTGCCCTTATCTGAGTGAGGGCTGATGACGATCAAGGCTGCCCCAGGGAGAGAAGGCCAAGGCACCCTGCCCTACATACCCATCTATATCATCCTCCGGGAAGCATAGGACGTCCTGACCTGATCCGACCTGACTCCTATCCAAAGTTATAGGTGCACCCAATAACCAGACCCCACCTGCACTGATACCATTTTAACAATTTTTTTCATGATCTTTCCTTGGTCTTGTAAAGAAATAACTCACATACCTCTGCCTTATAAATTTAGCTCTAACCCTCAACCCATTGCAGCTGTTTCCTGCCCACGGGTCCTGTCCCCATGCTGCTCCATGCTGTTCTCTGAACAAAGAGCACTACTACCAGACCTTAAGAGTCCAAGAAATCTTTCTGTCGACTCCTCAGCTTGCCAAGCCCACATCAAGGGCTATTGGCAGTAATTTTAGCCAATTTTTCTGCGTCTCTTGGCACAATTTAGCCAAGGTCCTCTTTAAAGTTTGATTGACCCGCTCAGTTTTTCCAGACAATTGTGGTTTCCAGGTGGCATGTAGCCTCCATTTAATTTTTAAAACTCTGGCTACTTCAGAGGTTATTTTTGATATAAAAACTGGCCTGTTGTCACACTGAATTGATCTAGGCAACC